TGAAACAGGTATTCGATATCGACATTGAACCCAGCCAAGCTGACATATATTGTGTACTAGTTGATCAAATACAAAATCTGTCAGCGCGGCTTGGTCAATGTCGATGGCGACTACCTGGGCCAAACCGTTGATGGTTGGTTACTGACAGATAGATGCGTTTTAGTGTAGAAAGAGTGGTGTGAAAACAGGTGTCGGTGGTGTAACGGGTAGAGTGCGCGCTCTCCGCTTGGGTGAAATGCAGGTTCTAGTCCTGCCTGACTCAAATGTTTTGCACATCACTGTACATCAATGCGTATATTTATAACATCTACCACCTCTAGAAGCGCTTAAATAAAAAAGGAATTCTATATGGTGTATATCAATATTGTCTCTTTTGTATATTTTCTTGAGTGTTGCCACTAATAAATTGTAATAAACCCGTCTGTATAGAAAAGTAGCCAGCCACGGAACACATCAGCTACTGTAGGTGACCATGCGAAGAACAAATATTCTAGAGAATAACGCCGTCCGAAAATTATTCTGTCACGGGAAAATAATCCGACGGACATCCAACAGAGTCGGTTTATTGTTATTCCGTTGATGTAAACTTTAGTAGTCATACAAACTTAGAGTATAATTGATTTAAATAATCCAACAGAAAATTTTCTTCACCGTGGCAGTTCTGTTCGGTGCTGCAAATTACGAGTGGTCTATAAGACTTGTAGCTGAGCATGTAACGGCTGCTAGTAGTATGCTAGTCACGAAACTTGCTGACAGCTAGTTCGATTTCGTGCCTCGATTATTTCAATCCCTCTATTCCTGCGGAATTGGCAAATCGCACACAGATCTGTCTGGGAGGATGGCAGCAATGACATGTTGCCATCGGCGGGTCACGACTAGTCATTGTATAAGGGAATACGAAGAATGATTGATTGGCGCCAGAAATAGTAATGTAACAAAGGTTCTTGAAAACCCGCTATACATGTATCTGTGCTTAGTATTATGTAAGCCGATATAATTTAGTTTCAAAGTTTCTGGAGAATCAACCTTACATGCGCCGGAGGGTATTCATCTGTTGTCGACAAGTAATCGGATTCGCATGAAACTTCATTTGAATGCGAGATGAAAATCATAATAAAATATATTAATGGAGAAACTTGTAGTCCAAAATAGTGCCCTAAAGCTCCACAGATAAGAGCGGTCTGTGCTGAAAAGTAGATGCATGATTACTTTTTTTTCGGAAAACAGTTGTATCTATTTTTTGCTCACTTTTAGACTTCTTTCATTCTCTTCACTATAGTTAGGTGATTTTTTTTCTGGAAATCATTAGAAATTTGAGAGAACACACGTGTTTGTTTTCCTTTATAGCAAAAAATAAACCGCTTCAATCTATGTAATTTTATGGTGATCGTCTTCTTTCTGAGACGTTTGATCAATGAAAATCACAAAACATGGAAACACTTCACTAACAGTGCCTTCAAATCCTCTTTACGTAGCTATATCTTCTATCTGATTCTAACTTGATATCAGCCGACTGACCTCGGAGGAAGCGAGGTCTTGTGAGCTGCGCCATGAATTTGCACCAATTTATCAAAGCATTGCATACTGCCGGGCAAATCTAACCACCGCGCTACGCACTGTCCTGACATTTCATGTGTTCAAAATGCTTTATTAATGAATGTCGCGTTTGTTCAAAGATCAGTCTCTGGATTTATTCCAAAAGCTTCAAAAAACGCTGCTTAATCCTGTTCTGTTATGCTAATTTTCAAACAAGTCCGAAGTTATGGCTCTGCAGCGCGCATCGATCACATCTATAAACACATAGAAATTTTATTCTAATAAAACTTATTCATTGCATACAGCATAATCCATCAGTCATTTGATATACACTTTGTAACTCGCAGAACCAACAATCACACAGCTCAGATGAATAATTCATACATGTAAGATCACTATGTTAAGGCCAGCGTATCAAGAAACTTTTAATTGACCATTGATTTTGATTCTTCGCCTTGTTCAAAACAGAACTGATCCAAGTCGGATGTCTACAGATGTAGTTGTCGAAATGAGCGTTTCTTGTTCCAACGAGTCGAATATTTTTGAAAGAAATAAAGGTTGATGAATCTCATCACCATTAGAAAGTCATTTTTATTCTATTTATTTGTGTTCTACAACCACGGTGTTACACTCCAAAGCTTCTGCTAGTGTACAACTGTCTCAGCTCCTCCGTTATGATGTCAGAGCGTACATGATCGTAAAAGATAAAATAATATATTTTCAGTTGAAGAATCTGTTGAATGCTGTGGTGACTCCTCACGGCAATACTATTTAAGAGATGCACTAGTACGATCAAATACTGCTCTATGTATGGAGACGAGCTTGCTGCTATCGAAAAAGCAGCAAGTAAAGGTAATCACCGTAAGATATTCATTGAGAGAAAAATTCTTTAATGTGACATCACTTTTGTAATGTTCTGCGATGTCGAAACGATGATGACAATTGATAATAAAATCGTACCAATTGGACGTGAAATCGTTGGAAGCAACTTTGAGAGTTTTGAACACCTATCGCTCTGGGAGATGTCGAGACCACAACTGCCTGTGGGCAGTTAACTCGAATCTCACGCTTTCTGAACAAAGAGAAGGCTGCGAAATGATGGTTGAAAAAATGCCCTGAAATATGTTCTTCCTAGCGTAATTTGACAACCTAAGGAATATCCGTGCCGAAGCTAGTTGAGTGTTGGTTTTGCAAAATATAAACAGTGAATTGAACGAGTGGATTACACTGTATGCATTGAATTGATTTCGTTGAATAATTTTATTACCGTGATTTTGGAAATGATCAATGCCCGTTGCAATACCAGAATTCAAACTTATGTGAACTCTGCATAACAAAACAGGATCAGCCATCGATTCACAATGAGACGGTTGAAATGTTCCCAAACAATCTTCAAAGAACCATGACATTTATCAATGAGGCAATGTTAAGTGATTAATTCTCAGGGACAGGGGAGAGCAGTGGTCAGGAGTGCTTAGCAGTGCACATTGTTTTGCTAAGATGGTCCGAACTCACGCCGCAGGAGCGCAAACCATGAATTCCTACGAGGTCGGCAAGACGATTTTACAACACTGAAATCATTAGGAAATTAGCTAAGTGAAATAATTCGGAAGCGTTGTTGATCAGGTTGTTCCATGTTTTGTGAGATGCCTCTTGTACAGAACTGTATCATATTGTTTGTCCAGATGTTGAAGATGATTACCATTACTATTTTGGGGTACAAGATCATTTTTTTTTCCATTAGGACTATCAACACGATTTTTGTCCACCTTCAAGTGAAGTGTTACACACTAACTGGATTACTTGTCAACAACTAATGAATTTATTCCGACGCCCGAAAGGTCACGTTCAAAAAAATGGAAAATTTCATTATTTAAATCGGGTAAATACTACTTGCACAAAATCATGCGGTCCAATGTAGAGGCATGATTCATTTTGAAAGCTATAAGCTCGACTGCCGGTCACTGCAATGTCAGGTAATTCCATCACTTGACTTGCGGTGATTTACTGCTTGGCGTCGATTCCTTCAAAACTGGGTTGAGAATGTTTGGTCTTCTCTTTGTCAACTGTAACAGTCGGTGCATTTGTGGCGCTACTTTGCATTACAAACGGGATTATTTTGATTTATTGGTGACGGTACTCAAGTATTATATAAAATGGATAAAATAGAAATACAACACACATTTTCACTTATGCCTACACATTTCCCTTATTTTCGCCGGTAAAAGAAATTGTTTAGTGGAAGATGATGGTGATCTTATGTCTTTTCGCCCTTGTTTCGACCACATTCGCCTGCTCTTGTGCAATGCCAACGTCCACTGAAGAAGCCTTTTGCGCAGCGGATTTAGATAAGGGATATGAGATTCTTCATAACTGTTCAGATACAAAGGAAAAAAAAAGCATGATGTCAAATAATCTTTATAATCGTTTGCCAAAATCCAGCCATAATCTTTTTTTAAATATTACCTGAGAACAAGATAATTATAGCAACAGAGACATAAAACGCTCAATGAGACCAACTCCCATGAATTTACGTTAGCTACAGATCTTTAACAAACTGCTACTAGAACATCTCTTCTTTCACATAAGCGATGTTTTCAAATGTTCTTTGCTCAGTTATTTATTGTATTTTTAGTATCTGAGGTGAAGGTGCTCTCTTTCCATGGACAAGGCATCAACTCCCACACGTCCGACTCGGCGTACACAATCCAACATATATTAACATATAAAGTATGATAAGAACTTTCGCTGTCCGAAAGGCTAACATATGTAAATGTAACTATCGAGAACCCATTAAGGCTCCTAACTACCGTATGCGTCCTTCTATTGTATACACGCCTTCTGACGACTTATGTGGTCTGAGAATGGAAGTTGGATAGGAATATCTCCTAACAGGTACTGTTTCTATTATACTGCTTATGTGGTTTAAATCCAGGCAAGACATTTGCATATGGTTTTTCGTGTCAACAAACTGATTGAAAAGTATCAAAAAGAGAGGCTCCTTGAGGCTAGAACAGCAAATATACCTGCATTGTTTACAACTTCAGTGATCCATGCTAAATGGACTTATTATCCGAATGCAACTATGAGAATAAGAGCGATTTTCGCGCTGACTAATGTCTGAGGCAATTGCCATGGCGCTGACTTCACCAAACATCGAACAGAAATCATTGAATGCACTGGTGACTTGTAGAATCACCTGCCACAATTTACGATGCATTACGCCATTCTAAGTATCCTTCAAGACAAATCTGGTAGCAATTTGCCAAACCGTAGTGATGGAAGGTTTTGTGAGCTTAAGCCATGCGACCGAACCAGGTAGCACGTGTCTATTGCAGAGCACTTCTACTGCGTCACATTCGCTCACCCTAATATATAAAGTGAACCTAAAGTCTTTCATGCCTTTTTGCAGTGTTATGATGTTTCACAAATACCTAAGAAAATGAAGGGGTGAGCAAAAACACGGCCTTAAGTGGGAATCGAACCCGCCTTCCATCCATACCGGGGACGCTCGCTGCTACCACTAAACCACTGAGGCATAATTGATTGCGCCACCACTCACTCTTCATCATCTCCATGTTAGCTGTTTTTACTCACCACTCAATTCTCGAAGGAACCTAAATTCTTCAGAACATAGACCCGTCGTCTACAGCGGATGACGGAATTGCACCTACACGAGTAACATTTCTGAGCAGTGACTATTGCTTCAGTATACTTTCATGCTGATTGTTCAAAAAAAAAGTGACAGAGAAACCAGTTGAATTGCACAGCAACGTTATCAGTTCATGCCATATTGTGTAAATGAAATCATATGGTGAAAAAGTGGTATGGGCGTTGCGGCCAAATGGTTGTGATGCTCGCCGCGGCGCGCGTGGAGCCGTGCTCCACACCCGAACTGTTTATAGCGGTTAATATGCCTTATGGATCATCACAGCCAGGCTATTTTCAAGATTGCAAGGAGACTCGGTCAACCAGTATTCGACGACGAGAAAAAGGAGACGAAAGAAGAATTGAGTGCTAGAAGTACTGGAATCTGCACAGTGAAAACAGCACTGTGAAGACGGATCAATAAAGTGTAGGGAAAAGATGTGAGAATTAAAATGTCAAAACATGAGAACAATACCATTAATTTGGGATTTCGAAGTGGAAACAATATGCATGTGTATCGATGCGGTCAGGTGAATGGAAGAAATTTTACTGGCGCCACTGAACTCCACACCGTAACACTGGAATTCCGCGAGAATCTCAAAAGAATCCAGTGTTGAGTTCTGTAGTTGAGCACAATGAAGATGATCCGTATTATTGTCGTCTTTATCTAGTCAACAAAATTGTATGTTGCATAATAGAATGTTCCCAAAATAGCCATAGCTGGTGTAACTAACGACTAGAAATTGGGCAGTTATGTATATTTGACACGAAAGAGACATGAAATATGTTGTCAAGCAGTTAGCAAGGCTATTCATCAACGCATGAGTGAAGTATTATGCATAAATTAATTTTAACTAGTTTTATCATCTTTTTTACAGAAATAAAACCTTGAGTAATTCATAGGACGACATACACCAGCTGTTCGATAAGACAGATTGTATAAAAAGTTCTGCTCAGTGATGGAAAATGATGTGCAAAACTTTTGCGTCAGGCGGGACTTGAACCCGCATCTCCCTCCACCAGGTAGCGCATGCTCCAACTCGTAGCGCTACCGACGTCGTACTTCCATCACTTTTTCTACGCAACAATGCACGGTTTGGCCCAGGTAGAGTCCGGCCTGACGCAAAAGTATTACACATCACTCTGCATCCTTAAGTATATCTATAACATCATACCATTGCTAAAAGCGGTAAAAAAAAATGATTCCTAGGAAAAGTTCTGTCGCATTGCCTAAGAAGATGATTTTTACATATGTTTTTTGCACGACTATAAGGTCATCAGAAAGCTCATTTTCTTGCGTATTGAATGATCTGTCACTTGTCCACATAGGCTTCATAATGGCACTGTTCAAGGGAGAATTCGTCTACTGCTCCACTTCCATTGGAAAGTGGGTGTAAACGCTTCTGAGGAGCCCGACAGATCTGTAAGGCGCGTGGTGACGGAATTTGCGATGTTCGTACAGCTCAGCTTTGGTTCAAGTCACTCTGGTGAAAAAGAAGATCGGCTGACCGACAAGCCAAAAGAGGGACGTCCACGAGAAGTTGATAGCCAAGCAGTTGTCAGTCGAACTGAAGAAGATCCATCGACGGGTTGCCGGATGTAGCTGTTTAATTATGATCCGAAGATTACCGCCGCAGAATCTTCATGCTGCTGGATATTTGTTTGAATTGTCTTGATGCAGAAGGAAACTACCTCCACTGATAATTTGTCATTTGTTTGAGCCTAATTAGTGTGGAAGTAGTTGTTCCCTACGAATGTTGAGAATGCGACAAAACTTTTCCTACAACCTATTAGTCTGATACTATACTTTATTTTCTAGGTACTATAATTCAAAAACAGAAATCGCAATGAAGATTTGCGTACTAGCGGGCAGAAGAAGTAATTGTCTTATTTCCAAAACAGCTAACCAATTGCTTCATGGAGTTTCTGCGAATTCCATCACAGATAACGTATGAATACTCATTCCACAATGCTTCTCAATTCTTTTTTAGGTACCTATATGTTTAACGGCGATAAATGAATATTCGGCCTCATTCGCTGGACAAGATTTTCTCATAGGAGTGCCAGTAATCATTTAAAAGCTTGGATCTTTGACTAACGCGACTTGTGGCCAGTTTTTCAAAACACTTCTTTATGACGCAGTAAATTCCGAAATAAAATTATGTTTCACACGACCACTATTCCGTGAACTAAATTCCTTCCTTAAAGTGCTGAAACTCTTTCGATAGCACTACTCTAAAAGTACTCAAAAATATGTTTGCTTTTTGGCAAAGCTCTTTTGATAGCGCTGTAGCAGAAAGAAAAGATTTGTGCTCTACACGTTACCGGACAGAGCTCTTTCTTCAGACTATTTGATTCCAAAGCTGTGCTTATGTTTTGGGGAAGACCATCTCACTGCAGTGTAACAGGGAAAATAAGATCGAGCTTCACACATTCGGCGAGCTTGTCTACCAGCGAACTCAAGAGCGTGCGCGAAGAGATTTATCGATGCCCTCATGCGTTAGATATGTGAGGTGCAACTTCTTTTCAATTAGGAATTATTCTTTGCTCTGAAAAAAACTCCATATAAATCGATTGACCCAGATATTAAGAAATTTTCTATACACATCTACACTCTTTTTGTGCTTCCAGCGGATTATCGGCGTGAGAAAAACGGAGGAGCGCAAAAGTGTGAATCATGATTTTATTTGAAGGCTACAGCGTAGTAAGAAGGCCTTTTCGAAAACCGGCCATTTAAGGCTCTAGCCACAGAATTAAATTTTCCAATGGTTACTAACATTCCTATGAAAAGTTCATGTCTAGCGAATCAGATCGAATATTCATTTATCGTCGTTTGGTCTTATTATCCGAATGCAACTATGAAAATAGAGCGATTTTCGCGCTGACTAATGTCTGAGGCAATTGCTATGGCGCTGAGTTCACCAAATATTTATAGAAATTATGAATGCACTGGTGACTTGTAGAATCACCTGCCACAATTTACGATGGATTACGCCATTGTCAGTACTCCTCCAGACAAATTTGGTACAATTTGCTAAACCGTAGTAATTGAAGGTTTGGTGAGCTTAGGCCATGCGATCGAACCAGTGAGCACGAATGCCAGCCACTTTTACTGCGTCACATTCGCCAAACCTAAAAATATAAAGTAAGCCTAAAATCTTTCAGTGCTTCTACTGCCTTTTTTAGTATTGGTTCTACTAGACGTAGTCGCCAGCCCATCCAAGCAGTTCTTCCGGTTAAGCTGTCAGTATTGCTCTCAATGAGCGTGCAGACCTTCACTACCACTGAGAAGAGTACGTTCTTATCTTTGTAGTGCTTGCTCCTAACCAGTAATCATCTCCTGCAACATCACTTTGCTTCCTACTGCTTACTACTATTGTTCCTTATGCTCAGTTTCTGTTTTCAGCTTTAGTTCTCCTTTGAAAGGAAATTTCAAGCATTTTGTTAGCCACTATTTTTGAGAGCATGGCATTGATGTCGGTATCTTCCAAACCGTTGTGCTGTCATCGATTCGTCGCATCTTTGTTCTTGTTGTCTCACTCTGCATCTCATATTTGCGTTGGCTTCCAGGCAACTGGTATATTTATGCTTCATTGTGATATATTTTGTCTCATTTGCTACCCAGATCTTTTTGGTAGCCTTTCCGATCATGTAATATGGTGAATTCACAGTTTGCATTGGTTCGGTTCGACAAACTGCTGCCATAGTGGATATGGATCGACCATTCCTAGAACAAGGAAAATGGGCCACCGTTATGTTTGAGTTAATGAGTGCTCCGGAACACATCAGGTCCGGAACACCACTGATACTTCGTCAAGGAAGGACAAAAGGGATGGGTGAAGTAATTAATGTAATAGAAGACTGAGAGCGAAAGATTTTCAGCTGACCAATTGCAACCCGCAATCTGGTGATTCATAGCTTTGCTGAAGTTTCCATTCTATAGGTGGTCTTCTGTCTTAGAAAGTATTTATATTTATATAGCGATATAGTCAGTAGATATTGATTGTGTCGTATTAGAAGTAGTTTGACGTTTTAATATCTAGTAATTTTTTCTTCACTTCATTGAACTAGCAGTTCTTATTTGTTCCGTGAATTTTCAGCTTGTTTCTTTGTTTTGGAGATATTTGAACCA